GAAAAAAAGAAAAAAAAAACATAGAAGTGAAAAATATATATATATATATATTATATATTATATATTATATTATATATATATGTATATAAAGTATATATAAGGGACATGGAGAAAAAAAAGAAAGTGTGAAAAAACAAAACAAAAATAAAAAAAAGCACAAAATGATGGTACAATAAAAACATCATTCACTCAACACTCTTCCTTTCGTTCTTAACATCGACAAAATGTTTTATTTTTGAACCAATTCTTCAATAGCCTTTGATGCACGATCACCACCAATTCGGTAAGCCACCAAAAGTATTACAGCAAATAAAGCAGCAATTCCCCCCACTGAGAAATACATCACAGCAAGATTATTATTCTTTCCACCGAGCCAAGAAAGTGTAGCCAATGAAAATGATTTTGTTCCACCAAATGATGATATATCAAAATGTTCACCAATCTTCATTACATATTTTCCAGGGACTAAATCTTTATGAATTATACGATGAAGTTTTCGAAATTTTGGAAGTGATGCTGTACGCATCCATACCATTAAATCTTCATCTGTTGTAACAGGAATAGCATGACCAAGTTCATTCGCGTACCATCCATTATTAAAAAATGAATCATTTGATAAAGGAGGAGAAGAATTTACTCCAGTGTATAAATCTCTTGCTGCAGTCCAAAAAAGATGATAGGTCGCCAAATCTGGTTCTTTAAATCTTTCTTTAACGTCAGTTTCCCATGCAATACCTTTTTTAGAACAATAATTTTTAGAAATAGATTCTCCAAGAGGTTCATTATTTTTCTTTGAAAAATCTGTACCATTACATATAAGCTCCAAATCTGGTTCCGCTCCAGTTGAATCTTTCTTTTTGTAAAGAGTAAAAGTATCATTAAACATTGACCACGCAATAAGGCCAGCAGGAACATAAATAAAATCTTTATAATGCAAATCTGAATTTCCTCCATATGTAATAGGAGTACCTGTGGTGCTGGTAATCTCACCTGGTACAACAAGAGGTGAAGCATCAGGAATGTCTCTTACAACAGCTCCAGCTAGTTGTGCATCACTTCGTGAATTGGAATAGCGTCTGTGATTTTGATAAAAATTAGTTAGACCGTAGTAAAGATATATAGGAGCTCTCATGGTTTCTTTTATTTCAAAGTTAACTTCAGTCAGACATCCTGTTTTATATGTCATATTATTACCTTCATAAGTAAATTCACCAGTATTATGTGTTCTAGTGCAATGTTGAATATCATCGTAGCGAACATTTATTTCCATTGCCTGTTTGTTCGTTACTGCAATCATACCGCCAAGTGGGATAAAAATAATAGTCACAATTGCAAATCCCAACACCACAAGTGGGGGTGTAAGAATAGGCTGCCACGCAGGCAACCGCTGTTGCCGCAGCAAATCCAACGTACTTCTTGAGGTTTCTGGCATTAGAGTACAAAAAAAGTTCTTCCTATCACACTTTTATTTAATTCCTTTTTTTTTTTTCAGTTGCCGCTGCTGTTTGCCAAACAGTTATTTCTAAGCAACCCTGACAAGTAAGTCTACAAAAAGGGACGAAAATAAAAAAAAAAAATTCAAAGAAAAAAAAAAACCTTTTTCTTTTTTTAGCTTAAAAACAAAATGAAAAAAAAAGAAGAAAAAATAGAAAATAAGTATTGTACAGAAGCCAACAAATAAAAACGATTTGGATAACACTGCTGTATCCCACACACACACA